ACAGCGCTATATGAGTTTGTTAAGAATACCCTAACTTGAGCCAGGCATGGTGGCACATGCCTTTAATCCCAGCACTTGGGAGGCACAGGCAGGAGGATCTCTGTGAGATCAAGGCCAAGCTGGTCTACATAGTGAGTTTCAGGCCAGCTGGGGCTACAGGGAGACCCTGCCAAAAACAAGAATACACTAACTTGAGCAGTTTGGCTCTAGATCTTGTGTAGATTTTAAATGATAGTTTGTAAGAGTCTCTTTACTGTCCTGAAATGAAATTCAATGTCACATACCCCCTTTTAAATGACAGTTTGTCAGATGTTTTGAAAGAACAGGGTTGCCCTCCCTATCTCCCTATCTCCCTCATTATCCATCTCTCCTCACCTCATCTCTGCCTTCTGCTTGCTCCACTGCATAGAGGCTGCCACGGAGCCTCCCAGCAGCCGCCTCCCCTCCACAGCGGCAACTTCTCAAACTTGAATGCATCAGAAGCATCTGCATTTCTGACCTAGTAGGGTCTAGCAAGTTCCCAGGTGAGCTGTGCTGCTTACCCACCTGGAGAGAGAGCCACAGGTGGGCAGGATCAGGAACTAGCCCTGGGTCCCCGCAGTCTGACCAAAACTCACCTTTCTAACTTCACCACTCCTGATGCCTGGCTCTTTCCTGATGGCAGTCCACAGAGAGGTTGGCCTCTGTGCCCTTTCCCTTTCCTTCTCCACCTGCTGAACACCTGGCTCATCTGTCCCTCAGAGCCCAACTGAGGGACCACAAGTTTTTGCAAGATTCCTTCTCTTTCATCACAGCCAGAATTAGTTGCCCTGGCTTGTAGCACACCAGTCTCTCCTGGGCTGCCTACCAGACTCTCCTAGCTTCCATCCAAAGTGTGGGCAAGAAACTGTCCCACTGCAGAAAGGAAGGGCTATTCCTGAGTATGGGAGCTGCCTCAGAAGGCAGCCTCTGGTTTGTGCAGGGCAAGGTATTTATTTCCCTGAGCCTCCTGACCCAGCTTCCTGCCTCCTGCTTTCTCTCTTCCTCCTGCTGAGTCACTGTGGGGGATGACCCAAACCTGACTACTTTCACCTCTTTGTGTGTTTATTGCCTCTCTAAATCTCGGAGGGCAGTGGAGCTCAGGGCTTCTTGCGTTTGAGCAAGTATGAATCACTTGTCCAAATGAGAATTCTGACTGAGCCGGCCTAAGAGTCTGCCTTCTGACAAGCTCCCAGTTGATTCCATGCTGCTGGTGTACAGCATTTAAAATCCTATCTTTTGGGGCTGGAGAGATGGCTATGTGGTTAAGAACACTGGCCACTCTTGCAGAAGACCCAAGTTTGAATCCCAGCACCCACATGGCAACTAACAACCTTCTATAACTCCAGTTCCAGGGGATCCAACGCCACCCTCTTCTGTCTTCCACGGGTACTGCACAACACAGGTACATTACAGGCAGGCACAACACATACACATAAAATAAAAATAAATAAATAAATAAATAAATAAAAGAATAAATAAATAGAAAGTTTTAAATCCTTTCTTTCATTTTCTTTATTTTGTGTAGGGGGGAGGCGCATGTGCCATGGCCCATGTGTGGAGGTTAGAAGACAACTAGTGGAGTCAGTTCTTTCTTTCCACCATGTGGGTCCCAGGAATCAAACTCAGGTGGTTAGGCTTGGCAGCAGGCCCTTATCCTCTGAGCCATCTCTCCAGACCCATTACACATCACTTTTAGAAGCTCATTTGCCAGGGCTGGAGAGATGGCTCAGTGGTTAAGAACACAAGGTGCTCTTCTAGAGGACTTGAGTTCATTCCAGCACCCGTACTGGGTGACTGACAACCCCCTGTAACTCTAGCTTCAGGGTACCTGGCACCCTCTTCAGGTCTCCACAGGCACCTGCACACACAACATACAAATACACAGGCACTTTAGTAAAAGTAAAAATAAAATTTTAAAGAAACTTAGTTCCGTTACCACTTAATGGTTGTCAGTAGCCATCTACTGTTGAACTCTGAACTTGGCAGCAGAAATAGAAACCAAAAGGGGATGAGACTGTCTAAAAGCTGGTGTTCATGATACTCCAGGCCATACTAGACTCTAGACATTGCGTTTAATCTGCTCAGCATTGCCAGTGAACTGGATACCTGAATTTGGTGCTCTTGTTTGCAGATGAAAACACTGGTCCTTAAAGAATCCAGGCTCTCCTAACGGGAGGGAGATAAGGCTGGCAGACACACATTGCCCAGGGCAGTGCTGGGCCAGCACTCCAATGCTTCCTAATTAGCTGTGGCGCCTCCAGCCTCCCCCAGGCTTCAGGACATGCCCTCATTGCCCATGAGATGTAGGAGGAAATGCCCAGCTTATATTAAAAGCTGACCCCTTGCCTACCTGTCAAGGATGCACCAGATTTCAAAAATTCCTCTCTTTTAAGATCCCCAACACTTCATAATATTTTGACATGGGAAGGTTAAAAAAAATTGGAAATGCTTTGAAATATTTCTCTTCTTTGGATTCTTGTTCTCTGACCATGTGACTGAATTGAAGTTGAGTCATAGGATTCCAGCTTAACATATGCAGTTACTATAGCAATTGAGGTTTCCTTAGTAACAGTTGCAAAAATAATCTGGCCCCAATTAATAATACATTTTGAAGCTCATTCTACTCTACACAGAAAACTCAGGGGTTTTTTTTGTTGTTGTTGTTGTTGTTGTTTTTATTTTTTTTGGCCAAGAACCAGATAATTCAGGTGGCGTCATTTGTACCAACAAAGATCATTTGCCTGCGGTGAACTGGGCTGGAAAGGAATGAAAAGGGAACCAGTCGTTTCAAGCTTTGCCGGAGTCCACTCTGACCAGCAAGCTAACGCCAGTTCAATTTCTAGGGCTGATAAAAACCCTATCCTGGATTCCTAGTGTGCTCCAAAGGACTTTCTGTTTAAAGAAGGTAGAAGGCTGGACTTATTAATTAAATAGATGAAACTAGAGGGCATAGGATCATGGTCCTTCTAGGGGTCTCTCTGTATTCTTAGTGGCTTGAGGTCTGTAAGTGTGTAAATTCAGTGGTCCTTCATGAAGAGAAAGTCTGCCTTAGCAGCAGGAGATGGGTCCTCAGAGATGCTTTTGCAGCACTGGTCTTAAGTGTGGGACCCTGCCATGTCATCTTGTCAAAGCTTTGCATCCACCTAGGACATTTTTCTGTGTTACTGGGAGCACCAAGGAGCAGCCTGGAGCTTTCAAAAGTTCTCCTTCCTTAACATATGGGACTGACCCTTAAAGCTGTCTTTGCACTCTAAGTAAATAGGTCAGTTGGCCGGCAGGCTGGAATTTCCCAGGGTCACAGCCAGGTGTCCAGTTCTGCATCTGGACATGGTTTCTGCTTCTGCTACTAGACTCTGGCCTCTAGAAACAAGGGCTGGCCAGCGGGACACTGGAGATGGGCCAGGGCAGCTGGTAGAGACCCCGGTTGCTCCCTGATGTGGAACCTGTACCTTGCCCTGGGTTTTCCTCAGCTGGCAAGTGGCCCAAAATCAAAGTGTGAAGAGAGGCGTGGGAATGGACTGGTACTTCCACTGTCAGTTCCTCGAGAGAAACTCAGAATTGCTTCTTTTTCCTGTTTTTGGTTCTTTTTCATTTTTAGTAGGGGGGTACAGGTGGGTAGAGAAAAGCAATGCCCTATGTAATGGCATACAAGGTGAGATCTCCAGGTACCTTCATAGGACATGTTTTATTAGAACGTGGCTTCCTCCACCTTAAAAATGAGTGTCATCTCCATGAGCAGCCAGGACAGTGCCTGGAATTGGCACTCCCTGCTTCTTCTGGCCCAGCATGGTGTGGGGAGCGAGGCTGGAGTTGGCTCCACTCTGTCTGTTGCTCCCATCTCTCCTTGGGAAGATCTACGCTGATTTCCTCTAGCCGTTCTACTACCTCGTACCTCCAGTGAGCTCTCATTCACTCACCCACTCATGCACATATTTCAGCAAACATTGAGGGAGTGCTTTCTACTTTAGAAAGCCCAAGTGCTGTGCTAGGTTCTAGGGTGTGGCAATGAGAAAAGAAGTCACCGGCAGCAAGCTCTGTAGGGCTGGGACTGTTTTACTCTTCAGCGTCTGCCCAGCTCAAGGGAAACAGTGGGTGCTCCAAAGTATCCACTGACTGAATGGAAAAGCTGTCTCTGTCCTTGGGATCTCCGGGTCCATGCGAGAAGAGAGATGGGAGGAAACACAGCCAGGATATCAGAGGGTGCCAAGGGAGGAAAGGCAGCTTGCTGAGTGGGATGGGGTCAAGAGGTTGAGTGGAAGGAAGGATCAGGCAAGGAGGTGGCAGAGGAGACAGAACAGCAGGGGCAGGGGCCAAAGCTCGGGGTAAAGTACGTGGGGAAAAGCTTGGGTTGAGTTCTTAGGGGGTGAGTCAGTGCACAAGGGCTAGGCTCGGAGGGAGCTTTATGCTGGCCAAAGGAATTTTATTCTTTTTATTTTATTTATTTTATTTTATGTGTATGAGTATTCTGCCTGCATGCCTGTAAGTGCACCACATGCATGTAATGCCTGCAGAGGCCAGAAGAGGATGTTGGATCCCCTGGAACTGGAGTTAGGGATGGTTATTAGCCACCATGTGAGTGCTGGGAACCGAACCCAGATCCTCTGCAAGAGCAGCCAGTACTCTTAACCACTGAGCCATCTCTCTAGCCCCAGAATTTTATTCTTTAGATTCGAGAGACAGTTGGAAGCCATTAAACTTTTTCAACAGGGTCACACTATGGGCGACCGATGTTTTGGCTGTGTAATTGCAGATGGCAGAGTAAATAGGGTACTGGAGATGTAAGGACCTAAGCTAGGATGTGGCAAGGGGGCTGGTGGAGGGGTGGCTCACGCAGAGCTAGATTTTGAAGGAAGCCCATTCATGGTTAAGTTCCCATATTGGACAGAACCAGGCTCCCAACCTGGAAGTAAGCTTCACACAGGTTTCATTCCCAAGACCAAGGTGGTAATCTTCCTGAGTGTCCCCTCTTCCCTTTGCAGTGACAAAGCTGCAGGTGAGCAAATCAAAGAGAACCCTCACATTGGTGGAAAACCGGCCCATTCAGCTGAACTGCTCAGTTAAGTCTCAGACCAGCCAGAACTCGCACTTCGCTGTGCTATGGTACGTCCACAAGCCCTCAGATGCAGACGGCAAGCTCATCCTCAAAACCACCCACAGCTCTGCCTTTGAATACGGCACCTATGCTGAGGAGGAGGGCCTGAGAGGCCGCCTGCAGTTCGAGAGGCATGTGTCAGGGGGCCTGTTCAGCCTGACTGTGCAGAGAGCTGAGGTCAGTGACAGTGGGAGCTACTACTGTCACGTGGAAGAGTGGCTACTGAGCCCCAACTACGCCTGGTACAAGCTGGCAGAGGAGGTTTCTGGGCGCACAGAGGTCACTGTGAAGCAGCCAGGTAAGCGGGAGGAGGTGCAACCATCCAGGGTCTGGGGGTTCTGTGGGGCCCCCATGAGACTGTCACAGTGACATCCCTGGTGTGGCGGCAGATGTATACTGTCATCCTGGTAACCTGTGGACATTTCACTTATCCTGCTGTGGTCCTGATGTTGATGGGACTTGAGAGCACCCTTGACTTGCTTTCATGGACAGCATCTTCATTGCAATGCTGAGGATCTGCAAAATGTGGATAGTCAGGTGGCGTCCAGGGCAACAAGATCACTCCCTCTGCAAGCCTCAGTTCCACTCTTGACAGCCCCAGCAGACTCTCTCCAGACCCCAAAATAAAGCATGATAAGTTTGGTCATTTCCTTCCAAGAACTGGATGGCCATGCCCCTCTCAGGCCTCTCTGCTCCTAATTAAGGTGCTCTGGCCCCTCAACTTCTCTCACAGTGTGACCATCACTGCCCTTTCTACCCCCTCTCCCACACATGCCCTGCAGTGTGTCGTCACTGCTTGTTTCCTCCAGGGCTAGGAGGGCTTCAGACCGTGCTGCCATTCCGAGTGCCATCTTTCTGCCCTTGCTCATGCAGTCCCCTCTGCCTGTAACGTACCTCCCCTGCCACTTCTGTCCTCACCCCATCCCCAAGACTTCATTCAGTACCACCTTTGGGAAGTTTCCCCTGATTTCTCTGATAATCCTTTTAGGGGCCCCTTTTAAACACAGTGTAGTAATTATCTGTGTTCCTTTTCTGGTACATTATAAGCATGATAGAGTCAGGGCTGCGCCTTTCTGTCTTCAGCCACTGGCATGACATCCTTCGTAAGCATTGGCTATGTAAGGAATTAATGGTGGCTTTCTTTGAACAACAGTACAGGGCCTTCGTGCTCACTATTCTTTGAGCATGGAACTTGTTGACCAAAGATATTTATGGCGATGGAAGATTGAGGACTCTGGGAGGTGTGTTTACCTCATCTTAATGTAAATAGCACCCTGTCACTCTGATTCCCCTTCTTTTCATTGTACATGGCGCCCCAGCATACTGTTCATTTACTTATTCATAGATAAGTAATTATGAAACTCCTTTTCATGTTTATACATACAGTCCACTTATATTATTTGTATATTCAAATACTCACATATATACTTGTACGTATGCATATATGTTGCCTGTCTCTCCCACTAGACGAAGCTCCTTAAATGACCATAGGGACTTGGTTTTCTTACCAGACTCCCAGTAAGTCAGCAGTACCAGAAACAGAAGGCCAGGTATGTCCTGGCCTGTGGTGGCTGCAAGGCCGGTATTCTCCTTTTCCTGAAGATATCTTCTTCTGGAATTCTTTTTTTTTTTTAATTTATTTATTATTATTATTTTATGTGCCTGTATGTAGGTAAGTGCACCCATGTCGTGCAATGCCCTCGGAGGTCAGAAGAGGCTGTCAGATCCCCTGGGACTGGAGTTACAGACAGTTGTTAGGTGCCATGTGGGATTCGAACCCAGGTCTTCTGCAAGAACAACCAGTGTTCTTAACCACTGAGCCATCTCTCCAGCCCCTGGAATTCTTTCTGGCTACTGCTTGCTTGCTGTCCTCTCTGCCTTCTGTCCTGGTTATTGCTTCCACTAGGATGTCACCTGTGTCCTTCTGTAACCCTGTCTCCCTCTCCCCCAACATCTCATCTCTAGCTCCACCATTTCTTCCCTTTCCTCTTTTGTTTGAGCCTAAAAACTTCGTGGATTCTAAATATATCGAAGGGGTTTCCCCATACAAGGCTGCTGTTAAGCTGAGTGAGCAAGGGCCATAAGGATCCCCGTCTACATACTTGGTGACATCCCTGCTGCAGTGAATTTTAGCTCATGAACAGAAAGCTCACGGGATGCTGACTAGACCAGTGTCTGCCCTTTTTTTTCAGTTCGGTTTTGGTGTTTACATCTTTTTCTCTCTCCTACTCCTTAGGCCTCTGCCCTTTCACCTAATGAGAAAGCATATATTACCATGCCTTGGAGGGCAGGGAAGGGGGAACCACAGTGGAACAGAGCATAATCTTACAACTCAGTATAATTAACATCTTACACGTATATTCTGATGAAAATAACTGTTGAAAATACATGTTGTTTTGTTTCAGTTTTCAGCTTTTGAACTGCTATAGCAATCTTCTCCACAGTATGAAACCCTGAAAGAATACTGAAGTGTGTGAAGAGTGAAAGTGCTGGGCTCTCCCTGATGCTCAATGTCACTCAGGGATTCTGTTCCCAAGGCTCTTCTGTGTGTTTACAGTGTCATGACTGTTAGATTATGGTAGTCCAGAGAGGTTCATCAGGGGCCCCTGTAAAGTTGTAGCAACTGGCATTATTAATGGTACTTCTTCACTGATGGGGAACCTTATTCGTAAGTGTTTAGACCTCCCAGCCCCATCAGCATCATCTTCTTTGCTGATGTCCAGTAATTCTCTTACTCCTTTGAAAACGGGGATTCTGAGGCCCAGTGTCTGTACATATTAAACTGGGTTTCCTTCTTGGGCAGTTCTTTTGTGGTGTGGCTCCACATTTATCCAGCTATCATGTGGTCAGATTTCAATTTTCTCCTAGTCCAGGCCTCATGCTTCAGGCCTGTAATCCTTGGTCTTTGGGAGACTAAAGCCGGGAAAGGTCACAAGTTCAGGCCCTCATGGGCTTACAGAGTAAGCTCAAGGCTAGACTGGGCAATTTAGCAAAACCTTGTCTAAAATACCAAGGTCAAAAGAGTTGGTGATCCCTCCGTGGTTTAGTGCATGCCTAACATGTACAAGGTCTTGGGTTCAATCCCAAGTCTACTCCTGCCATGAGAGGGGCCGTCACTTTGCCCTTGCCTGCCCCTTCCTATTAATAGTTATCCCCTCAGTCAGCCACACACTTTGGAGTCTGTTGTAGATTGAATAACTAGTCTTTTATAGCTCAAGCCTGCCTTCTTGCAAACATCTGAACCCCTGAGGGTTCTGAATCAGGAATAGCTTCTACTGCAACACTGGACACCTAGAAACCCAGGCACATGTGTCCGGGACACAGTATACTTAAAGTGACATGTGTGAGATGCTCTCCTGTGTTCCCAGGGCATCTGTTCAGCTGCCCTTGTGAGAATGCTGTGAATTGCATGTCATGATATCTCTTTTCCTCCCGTTCAGACAGCCGCCTGAAGCTCAGCCAAGCCCAGGGAAACCTGTCCATTCTGGAGACACGGCAGGTACAACTGGAGTGTGTGGTCCTGAACCGCACTAGCACGGCCTCCCAGCTCGTGGTGGAGTGGTTTGTGTGGAAGCCCAACCACCCAGAGCGGGAAGCCGTGGCCCACCTGAGCCGAGACGCTACCTTCCACTATGGTGAGCAAGCTGCCAAAAACAACCTGAAGGGCCGGCTGCACGTGGAAAGCCCTTCCTCTGGGGTGTACAGACTCTTCATCCAGAACGTGGCCGTGCAGGACAGTGGGACCTACAGCTGCCGTGTGGAGGAGTGGCTGCCCAGCCCCAGTGGTGTGTGGTATAAACGGGCAGAGGACACTGCCGGACAGACAGTGGTCACAGTCATGCGACCTGGTGAGGCTCATATCCCCAGTCGTGGGTGTTTCTGTGTTAAGAATGTTACGAATGTTTAAATGCGTATATTTGTGACTTTCCTAGTCACTGTGACCAAATACCGTACAAGAAGCAACTTAAAAGAGGAAGGATTTATCTTTGGCTCACGATTTGTGGGATACAGTCCATGATCGTGGGGACGGCATGGCGGCAGGAGTGTGAGGCAGCTGGTCCCACTGCATCCAGTTAGGAAGCAAAGAAATGAATACTGGTAGTTTCCCCTTCCCCCCCTTCAGTCCAGGACCCCAACATGTGGCATGGTGCTGTCCACATTCAGGGTGGGTGAGTTTTCCCTCCCCAGTGAACCCTTTCAGCTCTGCCAGTCATGCCCAGAGATGTGTCTCCTAGGTAATTCCAAATACCATCAAAAATACAGATTAACCATCTAGGGACAGAATAAAATTAGTTTTTATAATAAATTATTTGCAGTTAAGTATATGGTATTTAAATAATACATTTGCCTTCCAAATTCTTTTAACTTGTTTTCCTTATGAATGGGAAATGGAACATCTGGGGTTTCTTAATTAGAATAAAAGCTAACAGTTAATTAATCTAGGTCATAGAATATTTTTCTTAGAGTATATTCATAGCAGGATAGGTAGTTAATATGACAAAAATCTTGAAACAATAGTCACGTAGCTTAAAACGTTAAGCTGGCAAATTTTCAGTGGGAAAAAATGGATTCTTTAAATAGAAAGCAGTAAATACGCCTAGCTTCCACCCTCATTTCCAATAATTTTATTGGCGCTAATGACTTTTCTATGTGGCCTTTTGCTCCTCTTGTCTCTGTTGCCTTTTCTAAAGTATCTAAATACACATTATTACTATGTATAACTGTTACATTTAACACATAATTAAAGCCACCATGTGCAGAGTCCCTGTGTCTTGCAACAATACAACATCATTGATCTGGATTCCAAGCAAAAAAGTCAGTAATCTCTTAAGGACATGGAGCAGAACTGAGCTTGCATCCTGTCAGGTAAATGCTGCCTGTGTTTTCTCGCCATCCTGCCGTTTGCTCTTGTGGCTGGAAGCTTTCTTCATGACTCCTTGTCTGGTCTGAGCTGCTGTCATCCTCTGGGATACCTTGGAACTTAAGAGCTACACTGTGCCCCATGTGTCATAGGGAACGTGCTTTAGGGAGGCGAATGCCACCTCTGTCACAGGAGAGGACAGGGCGCCATTTTACCTTCCCGTAGCTTGCCTGCGCTGGAGGAAAAATCAACCCTACTTTGTGTTACTCACTTTTTATTTAAACCTTGTTGTTCATATCTTTTTGAATCCTTGCCTAAGGACTGCTGCTTGTCTTTTCCTGAAGTATAGAGGATGTCAGCTAAGCACACATCCCCCCAACTCCCACCCATTTGGCTGATCACCATATGGAGCCACACCCCCCATGGAGTGGGAGGAGACAGACATTTATGGGAACCAGCTAGGTCCCTGCCAGTTAGATGGATGGTCTTGCTAAAACCCCAAGTGGTAGATTTCACTAATGAGGGAAACAAGCCTGAAGGGAATTTCTGTCCTGCTGGGAAGAACAGACCCAGGGGTCACCAAGTTTCTCTCCTGCCTCGAGTGCTCCCAGTATGGCTCTTAAGCCTGGACCTTGCAAATATACAAGTATAAGACCCTAGCCACCTTCCTCCTTTCTCTCTCTCTCTCTCTCTCTCTCTCTCTCTCTTCTTGTTTTGTGTCTTTTGACTTACAATATTTTCATTCAGTTCTTCATATCTGTTAATTTCAATTTCCTTCATGATTCCCTCTCCATCTCCGTCTCCCTCTCCCTCTCCCTCTTCCTCTCCCTCTCCCTCTCCTCTCCCTCTCCCTCTCTCTCTCCCCCGCCTCCCCTCCCTGACTGTATTAGATGAACACACTGGAATCAGAAAAGTAACCCATAACTTCTGAACCTACAAAGAGCTGCTCTTAATAATTTGGTGTGTATTTTTGTCTACTTCATGTCTTTGTATTCTTCCTGTCCCTTGGTCCAGGTGTGTCCAGCCTTTTGATGTTGTGACACAACATTGTCATTTTTCAAAGTTCATGTTTGAGAGCTGCAGTCAAGTTGAAAAAAAATTGCAGAAAAATCTCATCATGTTTTAAAGTGAGTTTACAATTTTGCGTTGGGCCTCAGATTGGATATATCTGCTGCAAATGAAGTCAGGAGCTCACTGTTTTATCTGATATCCTTTAGCCGCTCAGCATTCATTGGCGAGCATGTTTCAGTGGCGTTGAAAGCATTTCATAGCTACCATTCATTAGCTGCATAGCTTTCTTTGTAAGGAGGCACTTTACAGATTTGTTCTGAGGTGTGACTTGAACATGTAGAAGTTGACATGTATGACTCTGAGAGTTAAAGTATGAAGTTTATGAAATGAAGAACCACCATCAGTAAGACTGTAGTTGAGTAGATCAGTGGTTAAGCTCATTTCACAAAAACCAGAAGAGGAAAAAGCACGGGTGCTACCCATAGACCCCAAGGTAGAGGTCAAGGTACCAGCCAAGGAAGCAGTTGGTACAGGTGGAAAAAGCAGGCAGGGATAACTCTGTTTTACTATTAGAAGAGGAAAGAGTCATAAACTGCAGACAGGAGAAGGCTTGACCTGGTGTAGAATGGGACAGACATGGAACCAGATTGGTCGAGAAGGCTAGTCTGGGGAGGTGGCTGAGGGAAGGTAGAAATGAACTTCATTCAGAACCCTTATATTGAACCACTAGTGCCTACGAGGAGCCCCAGATAGATGAGAAGAAAGCAAGGGCGAGAAGACGGGGAAGGGGCCCTGAGGGAGCCACATGCAGATGTCTCTGTCCTTGTGGCCACAGTGCGCTCCAGCACACATCACACAGGGCCCCTCTGTCATGTGGCAGCCACGGGAGCTCTGCCAGGCTGTCTGTGTCGGATGCTGGAGGAGAGGCACCGTAGGCCAGCCAGTGATCTGGAAATGGCCTTCTGGCAGCCCTGGGTTACATATCAGCTGTGCTGTCTTTAAGGATGAGCTGCAGAGATGCATGGATGTGCATTAGGTGTGTTGTCCACCCTGCTGTTTTCTGCTCTCCGACATACTCCCCTACACCAGAGCTGAGCTGGCAGTCTGTGCCTGCCACCCGTAGCTGCTTACTAAACCTCCCCATGTCTGTAGTGCACATGGGGATTATGGATAGGCAGGGGGCACAGAGGGGCCCAAAGCTTAGGAACCTCAGCCTCACCAAAGTCACCTGCAGGTGACACTGAGTCAATCCATTGAAAGCTCAAGAGAGAACGCGGGAACTGCCTTTTAGGTCTCTGTCCAGTAGACTCTGATGTGTGCCCACTATAGGTGTTCCATGAACATTTCCTAAGCAGAGCCAAAAGGGGAGACTTGTGGAGTCTAGGGAGTGAATTATTGTTGAAAACCTACCACAGCGAGCCAAAGAAAAGATAAAGGAAGCCCCAAACCCAGATGGAACCTGCTGGTGGTGTCTGTAAGCTGGGACATTTCTCTGGTTACTCTTTGGCTCCTACCTAAATTGGGCTACAGTCCCCAGGGAGAATAGTCACCTCTTTGACTTCACTTGAGCTCTTCATGTTCCAAAGTTCCTGGGTGGATATGTTGTCAATAGTTTCCTATCATTGCTATAACAAATTACCACAGGCTTGGTAGCATACAAGAAATTTTTCTCACAGTTCTAGATGATAGCAGTCCATTGTGAGGGCGCCATCACAGGCAGACTCCCTGAGGCACTGGGCAGGAACCCTGCCCTTTCTTGCTCAGATTCTGGGAGCCCTAGTCTGTACCTCCATTGTTATGGGTCTTCTCTCTGTGTGACCTCTCCTGTTCTTACAAAGACACCAAATATCTTAATCTGCTCAGTTGTCTAACAGTAATACAGGCCAGGTCCTTAAACAGCAGAAATGTAACTTTTATCATTTGGAGATTGGCAGTCTGAGGTCAGGGCCACTAACAGCTAACAGCATCTTCATGTGACCCTCCATGTGTGTTCCTTGAAAGACAGATCTTTCATCATCTTATAGGACCACTAATCCTACTATCAAGGCCCCACCCTTCTGACCTCATTTAACCCTAATTACCCCCTCTCCAAATACAGTCACTCTAGTGGTTAGGACTTCAACATGTGCATTGAATTTAGTGCTCATCATCTTAGCTAATTACATCTTCAAAGACCTCTTTCCAAATCAGGCCACATTCTGAAGTTCTAAGTGGACATACATTTTGAGGGGACACTGTTCAATGACTACAGTGGAAAAAAAGGTGCATTTCTCCTTGGATTCCCATAAACATCTACAGGGCCAGCCTCTTATGACTTTCTCACAGATACTTTATGCACATTTAAGCAAATAGCATGCCAGAAAAAAAATTTTTTTTCTGCAGAATATACACAGTATAATATCCTCAGAACAGTTTTTCTGGTATCTTTTCCCACAACTCTACACATAGTGCACCCCTACATCTTCCTGGTAGGTACAGAGAATTCTAGCATATAGGTGTTACTACATCATAATGCAGTCAGTGGTGGACATTTGCTTTTAAATTTATTTCTCTCTCTTTCTCTCAGTCAATGGCAGACATTTGCTTTTAAATTTATTTCTCTCTCTCCCTCTCTCTTTCTCCCTCCCTCCCTCCCTCCCTCTCTCCATGACGTGGCATATCGGTGGAGGTCAGAAGACAGTGTTTGGTTCTCTGCCTCCACCTTTTGAGGCAGAGCCTCTCTTGTTTCTCACACCACTGGAACTCCAGGCTAGCTAGCCCACAGGCTCCTGGGCAATTCTCCTGACTCTGCCTCCTATCTTCCTGTAGGAGTGCTAGGATTAGACATTAGACGTTAGGCACTCATGGCATCTGGCTTTTTTACATGGGTCCTGGGGATCAAGCTCAGGTAGGTAGGTTAATAATACAAGCACTTTTACCTGCTGAGCCATCTCAGCCCATTTAGTTAGTTTTGAGCCGATTAATCAGCCTTTCCTTCCTTCTTTGTTCCTTGTTCCTCCCCAGATGCTGCCCTCCAGGTGGACACAGTCGTCCCCAATGCCACGGTGTCTGAGAAGGCAGCTTTCCAGCTGGACTGTAGTATCCTGTCTCGATCAAGCCAGGATTCCCGCTTTGCTGTGGCCTGGTATTCCCTAAGGACTAAAGGTGGCGGAAGGAGGGGAAGCCTTGGCATTGAAGAACAAGAGGAGGAGAAGGAGGAAGAAGAAGAGGAAGAGGACAAGGAAGACCCAACAGAGAAGGCGGTTCTGCTGAGTGTGGGTCCAGATGCTGTCTTCGGCCCTGAGGGTGGACCCTGGGAAGGCAGGCTGCGCTTCCAGAGGCTCTCACCCCTGCTATATAGGCTCACAGTGCTGCAGGCAAGTCCCCACGACACAGGCAACTACTCCTGCCATGTGGAAGAGTGGCTGCCCAGCCCTCAGAAGGAGTGGTACCGGCTGACGGAGGAGGAGTCTGCCCCCATTGGCATCCGGGTTCTGGACACAAGTGAGTTTCCTCAGCTACAGTTCCAGCTGTGCTCACAAGACAAATTCAGAGCTTAATTATGGATTAATAAGCACCTTGCATAAGCGCTGTGGGCATTTATTAGTAGGATTTGAGAGATATGCTCACCCACATAACTGACCTTCATGCAAAAACTGGATAGAAATTAAAGTGATAGTGTGCGTGCGTGTGTGTGTGTGTGTGTGTGTGTGTGTAGCTTGTTTATCTAATATTTTATGTGTATGAGTGTGTTACTTACATGTATGTAAGGGCACCCATGTTGTGCAATGCCCGCAGAGATCAGAAGAAGGTGTCAGATCCCCTGGTTTACAGATGGTTGTTAGCCCCACCATATGGGTGCTGGGAACCAAACCCAGGTCCTCTGCAAGAGTAACCAGTGCTCTTAACCACTAATCCATTTCTCTAGCTCCTATTTGTTTATTTGGGACAAGATTTCTCTGTAGCCCCAGCTGGCCTGGAACCCACTATGTAGACCAGGCTGGCCTTGCTCGCTTTCACAGAGATCTTCCTGCATCTGCTTCCCAGGTATCACCACACCCAGCTTGTCATAAATTTTTTTATAATACACCTGATGTACTACTGGAGTCTATTTTAGTAAGCTTTCATTGTACAAGTATGTTGCTTGATATTCCTTTGTTACAGTTTAGAGTACTGAATCCAGTCTGCAATGAATTAGCAAGTGTGTCCAACTCACAGGAGGAAGAAAGGAAGTAAAGCCTGTCAGTCACGCTTTTCTTCATGTTTCTGGGTCATTTTTACTTTGGAGGCTGACTACAGGTTTAGGTGGATTTTGCCCCATTACTGAAAAGGATCAGCCTGGAAGGAAAATACTGTCACAGGAGGGTTTGGAGTCACAGAGGAGCTCCATCACCGCAGAATGGAGCTGAACACAGTTTTCATCCTGTGGAGAAGGCAGCTTTCCGGCTGCCTCCCCTTCACATGCCCTCTGAACAGACTGGAGAACAGCAAGTATTTTCTTGTTCTAACAAGGCACTCTTTCGAGTGGCCTGTCAAAATGTAGGCTGGAGCAGGCTGCAAACATTGTTTGCTCTAGTAGAATTAAGCCTAGAAGGCAGAAATAAAAGCAATTTGTTACAGTCTTCAACTTCTTTTCAATCAAAATACTTTCCCATCATCTTGAGTTGCGGTTAGGAGCTGTTCAGCTCTCTGCCTCGGTCACCTCCTGTTAATATCACATTAAATGAAATTGAGATTTTATAGGTTGAAATGGTTGAGCATGAGTAATTTAATGTACTTTGGAAATCCAATAACTGTAAATTTGTGCTAACTTTTCTGAATGATACTGGTGATCTACAACTGTGTAATGGAAGGGAAGATAGAGAAAGCCCGAATCAAATGTGGACCCAGGACCAAGACTGAAAGAGAAAGTGTTGGGGTCACACCCGGTCTGCCTGCCATGGACACCTGTAATTATTAAGCTTCATGAGCACAGGGATCACTCAAGAGGCCAGGCTCCTGTCAAGGGCTAATGAATCATCAGGGCACGTGGTTTCATTCTGTCCCATATCCAGCCGTAACTTTGCTCTATGCGGTGACAGACACTGGGTGTTTTCAGTGGCCCATAATGGCATCTGAATTGATGATTTTAATCAAGCATCATTTCTGGTACAATTACTTTCTGAAGCTGGTGGGAAGGGAATGTGTTAGATTCCCTGAGAAGGAAGTTTGTAGAACTAAGTGCAGAATGCCATGATAAATATGACCACACAGGAGGATAAGAATGAACCAGAGTCAGCCTCTTTACCATCTTAGACACAGTCTAGTTCACAATCAATAAGCTTCATTTTATTATCTGACTTTTGAAGCAGAATTAATGGGTCTCAGAGGAAATGGAGGCATTGCATTGTTGGAACTTAGACTCATGAATGGAAAAAGAACACAAGGGTCATCTCACAGTTCCTGTTGTAGGAGATGGCAGGGAGGGCACAGGAGTCACCAGTAGCTTCAGTCAGGCCTGTGAGGCCTTCGGGAGCAGGTGTGCACAGTCCAGGCTCACAGCCCTCATGCCTGTCCCCTTGCTTCCATTTCAGGTTCCACCCTCCAGTCGCTCATCTGCTCCAATGATGCGCTCTTCTATTTTGTCTTCTTCTACCCTTTCCCCATCTTCGGCATCCTCATCATCACCATCCTGCTGGTGCGCTTCAAAAGCCGGAACTCCAGCAAGAACTCTGAAGGGAAGAACGGAGTGCCCCTGTTGTGGATCAAGGAACCGCACCTCAACTACTCTCCCACTTGCCTGGAGCCCCCTGTGCTCAGCATCCACCCAGGAGCCATAGACTAAGGAGGGTGGCGCCCCAGTGGACGTTGGCCACGGAGGGGCGCTGTGGGCTCTCCCTCACTGCCTCTTGCTCTGTGATTGGACTCTCGACAGCACTGAACTCTGCAGGACCCCTGCAGAAAACAGTCAGGCCTGGAATGTGTTAGAAGCACCCAGTCAGTCACAGGGATGACTGCCTCCAGGTGGCAGTCCTACTGTCCTAGGTTTCTAGTCTTTGGTTCTGGTAATGTAGTGAGTAGCTCCAGATGCCACTTCTCATGAGTCTGTCTAGTATTCTCAAATTGATGTGATGGGGGATCCTGTTCTTGTCACATCCTCTTTTTTAGGTCCCTTTGCTTTACCCCTTTTGGATCCCACAATGTTGTGGATGAGTTTCTCTCACAACTGACAGCAAGAAGAAGGACGGCTTTGTAGTAACAAGGAGTCTCTTCCAAGTCGTTTTTTTGTTTTTGCACATTTGGAAATGCCACCCATGGATCAAAATACACCCAAACATTTTTTACTTTCTTAACAAGACTTGGGAAAAAAAAAAATGTGTGTGTAGCGTGGGCCCAATTTGTATCTTATCTTTTTCCCTCAGCTGGAGTTGTTGGAACCACTTTGTAGTCAAGATGAAAGCATTGAATTTTGCTTCAAAGAACTGCATATGTGCAAGAGAAATCCTGCAGAACCCCATTAGGAGTTAGATGGTGCCGGACCAACCGATCTGTCAGGGAGGCAAAAGAAACTTCGTCCTGTTCTTGCCAAAAACTAAGCAAGCTGTCTTGGAAGATGGGTTAAGGGTTCCAGACAGTTTCCGAAGGCAACCTAAAGCAGCTACCAACCTATCGATCAATGCCAGTGGCTAGAGAGGGGAAGGGGGAAAGACTAGCTGTTGGCTTGACTGTTCTGCAAGTGCAGTTCTGACTGAAACCTCTGAGAAGGTGGCTTTCGTCTGCAGATGCTTTGACAGATTCTCAAGAGGAAGTGTCCAGTGAGCCTGAAGGGGCCCACCCTGAGCCATCTCACTCAGCTTGGGAGAGTGGTGGGCAGGGAGGGAGTTTCAGGATCTGATGTACCAGAGAGCCTGGAGGAATACCTACCTCTCCTGAGGTTTGAAAACTAGGCTTTCTGTCTTCCTTCCACTGAGCTTTTCCTCAGAGATACTGAAGTCTTCCTTATTCAACATTGATCCCCTGCCCCTCCATCTCACTGCCATGAGACTGTTGTCCTAAGTGAGGGCCAGACTCAGCCCTGCAAGACTATGAGTACCTGGATTGAATGGGGGGAGGGGGCAATTGTCCTTTCCTTTTCTTGGATCTTTTCTGTGGTTTTAGGTTATTTGGCTATAATGGTAGCTTAAAATTTTTCAACCCAAAGATCGACCGCTTCCATTTTGTTAGGCCAGGTCCTTAGCTGGCCTGGAGCCTTGTCAGTCTCAAATTGTGTCTTTTGCTCACTCTGTGAAGTTTTTGAAGCTCTTGCTTCCTCATATTTCCCTGGCCAAGTGTTCCGCCGTACCTCCTTTGGGAGCTTGCATCTTCAATCCCAAAATGGAGCTCTAGGAAAAGCTGCCAAGGATTGCGAAAGTTAATCTAACAAGCATGATTCCTGTGAGATCTGCTCCTGAGAATATACAGTCTCCAAAGAGGCTGTGGGACTCATAGGCCCTGAAGTCATGTGGCCATGGATGCTTTCGAGGGGTCTGTTGGGATGTAGGCTATGTGGGCTGCGTAGTAGGATGTTGTGCTGGGTGGCAGAGGAGAGGCACATTGGCTGTGGCCATCTGACAGACCTGCCTTTTCTTTCCCAGGACTCAAGTACTCTGAGACAGCATTTAGGCACCGCCCCCTTAATCCTGCTGGTGCTACCCTGCTGATTCTCAGTTATGCTGTATCAACATGTTAGAGGTACCGCATTGGCTCAGTCATGAAGAAAGAATGTCTTTTGCTCCATTTCGGGGGTGTGGGCCCTCGGTGGGAAACTGCTGACTCCTTATTTTTAGGCTGAGTCAACAAGGGAAGATTGACTCTTCCTCTGAATGGGAAGATGCCAGAGGGCCGGTCTCGATTAAGACTTCAGTGCAGATTGGTTTGTAGCAGTAGAGACACAGAAATATGTGAAGTGATTGCAGGACATTGGAAAGGAAAAAGAAACCGAAGCCAGTATTTTAACAATTGCTTTTTGCGTGTATTTTTCTGCGGGGCTGGGGGGTTATCATCAAAAGTTGAGCTCTTTTGTGCTTTCAATATAAAAACCCCAGGACCTTTCTCTGGCTATTTCTATGGAAGAGTCAGGTGAATGGTGATGGTGCCCTCCGGTGGCTTCAAGACCTCATTGCTCGTTGTTCAGTGGGGCTTCAGTCTTCTGAGCTGGAGCTCCCGGATGCTCCTGACCTGTATTTGCCAACGTTGCGTTTATGAAAACCTCCACTGTGCTTGGCACATCCTGGGATATGATATGACCACACCCTCTTTCATCAGGGTGTTTCTGTAGCAAGTTTTCATATTCTTTTCAAACAATGGTTTCTCTGCGTTCATTGTTGATGACAAAAGAGAGAGATGGGATAAGAAAACTACCCATGCATGAAGTAGAGAGCTGTTGATTTATTTCGTTTTTTAAAGGAAAAACTATTTGTAAGATGTTGCACTAAGACGTTTTATATACACTTCAGAGACCTGTAGTAAATTATGTTGACAATATGACTGTTTACATTTTCTGGAGTCTGGTATCTTCCTTTTTGCTCACTTAACCAGCCACCTCCCTCTGTGGAACTGTTTGGTGGGTGACCTGGAGTTCTGCCCTTGGCGTTGATTACTAGGTTCACGTTCCTCAAGTTGTAACTTTTCTATGCATGCCCCCTTCTAGCCTAAATTATGTTTTTGTATAAATGATAAAAAATCTTTCTTAAGACATATTTGCCCTCTGCTAAATGTATCATACACAACTCTACACCTCTACCCAGTCAAGACTGCTGCCCCCAGAGCTGTGAACATAGAACATGCCTGGGGCCTGTTAGACCAGCTCTGAATGGAGAACATGACACTTTTCTGGGGTTTGCTACTGGTTTCTCTTTGGTGGGAAATTTAGGGTAAAAAGGTGCTGATGGGGAGAGCGAAAACTACATGCTTGTTCAGCAGGGCCTCCACAGGAAGACCACAGCCATCCTTTTAAGCCCTGTAGTGTGCATGACTAGAAACAGTGAGCAAGAATTTTCCTGGGTGGACGTAAGGGCAGGAGCTGGACAGTCTTGGGCAGTGAGACCAGACACCAGTCACTGCTGGGAGTGGCTAACACAGGTGCAAACCAAGGAACATCAGAATGATACAAGCTTCAGCAGGGATACACAGTTAGTGGGTCTTTAAAATTCATAGACCATGCAGAGTAGCTTCCCCTCCCCTCCCTTTCCTTCCTCTGGTCCAGCCTTTCTAAGGGTTGGGCATATACCTCACTGTGCTCACAGCCCCATTTGCTGTGTTCTTATCACCTTCCCGCAGCTGCTAGCCTGGCCACGAGCTGAAAATGTAGCTGCTTATCCCTTAGCTACCCACAATGCTCCATGTCAAGTCTTATGTGTTATTTTTGCTTACAAGTTGAAAATGTGACTGTTTATTCCTTAGGTACCCACAGAGGCTTCCATGTAAGGCTTATGTATTATTTTTACATAATCCCCCCATGCCCTCTTTCTGCCAGGAGCTAATTTTTCAAAAGGAAGTAAATTATGGAGTAAGATTACCCTCTCATGCCCTTTGAAAATCGGCCCAGCATTTACATAAATGAATGTGTATCTCCCCATGAGGTATACAAAGAAAACGACCATTTGCATGCATGCAGAATCAGGGGCTGTGTCTTGTTCATTATGTCCTGGGATTCCTATGCTTTGCAGGGCTAGTTCCAAGGGTTTGGCAAAACTACAGTCCAGAGCAACAGTGAGTGACGTGCTGCTACGAAGTGGCCCCAGCCTCCTGGACCATCCTTTCTCACCTTCTCATCCATGGTTACCCATAGTGACGAGGGAAAACTAGATCGCACACCACCGGTCACGGATGCAACCACATCCAGCAGCCCTTTTAGTGGCAACTCTCAGCATGTAAAGGGAGCTTTTTGATTGTCTACCCAATGCATTATGGGGCAGCCTGAGCCACTTTTGATCCACGAAGTCTGCTAGGTGTGGCACATAGACACGCCTAGAAGTGTTGGACGGAAATGCAACCTTTCTCTTAATGAAAGGCTGGTACTTGTCCTGGTCAGAGTGCAATCAAGGACAGTCTAATGACTGCATCCTCAGTACACAGAGACCTGGGGTCTTTCCTCAGCTCCAGGTGATGAGGCAGTACTTTCTGAAGCCTGGCTCTGAGGGGACTGACAGACAACTCTTGGGACTCATTCATCTCCGTATGCTTCTGTGTGGACAGGGCGAAAGGGGAGGCTTTGGACTTGGCCAGTCAGTGTTTTAAGCAGGCCACTTGCCTTCTCCAAGCCAGTTTCCTGGCTATAAAGGTTGGGGCAGCAATCTGAAATCCATCTAAGTGATGTGCTTTACAGGCCTGGCTCACAACACCTTTGCTCTTCCCAGCTTAGACGTCTGACAGCTTCCTAATGCATGAAGTCTGACCCATCCCACCTTTCCCAGATGGTCTGACATCCTGACAGTCCAAGGTAGAGGAGAAAATTGATTTCCTCACTTTCTGGACCACGCCCTGAACCTGCCTGTTTCCCAGGATCTACAAATAAGAGGGATTGCGTAAAGTACCAGGTTACATGGGGCAGGACGTTAAGCCCCAGGAATTTTACCCACAGAGATACCCCTAGGATATTATGGCTAATTTAAGACCTAGTTCATGAATTTCTGGGAGTCAGTTCACATGTCTGTGTGACTGGGCCTGTTGGTGAGGGAGACGATGGCAGTAAGAAAGCCCACTTCCGTATGTGTTTGCAACAGGCAACATGCTTTGGTGTTCTGGCAACGTGTTTAGACAGCAGAGTCCTGCTCTTGGGGTGAGAGTTCCCTCCTTCCCTCAACTGGGCAGGGGCAAGCCTGGTGCTTCTCTCAGTAAGAACAGGGACAGCTGGGGAGACTGGTTTGAGGGTGAGGTCTGGGAATAGTAATCTGGCCTGGGATCTGCTGGATTGAAGGAGACCAAGCCAGTGAAGATAAAGCAAGAGATTGCCACAGGTTGAACTGGACAGATTAGGGAATTCAAAGTCCTAAAGGAAATAAGGGATCTGACACATAAGGCCTACAGGTAGAAAAGGGGGTTAGGGATGTAGCTCACTTGGCAATGCTTGCCTAGATGTGCTAAGCCCTGGGACCCAAACCAGGCATATAATCCCAGATGGGAGGTGGAGACAGGAGGATCAGCAGTTGAAGGACTTCCTGTACTATATACTGAGTTCTGAGCTAGCATGGGCTACCCGAGACTTTCAAACAACGGGCTGGAGGGATGGCTCAGCTGGAGGGATGGCTCAGCAGTTAAGAGTACTGGCTACTCTTGCAGAGGACCCGAATTCAGTTCCCAGCATCCACATGGCAGCTAACAGCCATCTGTAACTTCAGTTCCAGGGGATCTAACACCCTCTTCTGACCTCCACTGGCATTGCATACTTGGGTATACTTACATCCATGTAGACAAAACACTTCTACACATAAATTAAAGATAAATAACGACAGCAAAGGACAACAGAGAAAAACCAAGGCCGAAAGACCTAGCTGTTGGGTTAAGGGAGTACTGAGGGGCTTGAGGACAAGTCAGAGGTGCTTAACTATGTTCATGAATAAGTGCTGACCTGGGGTACACCAAGTACCTCTGCATTCTCTAGCAGTTGTCTCAAATGGCCCCTTAATATTTGAGAAAAGGTGGGACATGGAGGTTTTCTTGTGCAGCCTAAACTCTGGGGGCCGGGGGTTGTGGGGGGAGCTCCTCTTGCTGGAAAGCTCAAGGGAATGAAGCCTTTGGGCCTGTTGTGACTTCAAGGCCAGTCCAGGAGGCTGCAGCTTTGGGGGAATGACAGCCCCAGCCCATTCCTTCAGCTCTGGAGTTGCCTTCATCAAGTCTCCAGAGCTGAGGAGAAGCACTGGGGCTGCAGGGAGAAAGGAAAATGAATCTGGGTTTTAAAATACAAACCATGTGGCCACAGTGAGGGAAGGGGAGAGCAAGCAGAGCAGGAACATGTGGGTCACAGCTGGCATTGGGAGCTGGCCACAGACTGGCAGAGCCCAGGTCACCAGGGAGGCTGTGACTCTCAAATGACCCTCTGAGACCTTCAGCAGACCCTGTAGCTCCTTCTCCATCCTAGGAACTCACAGTCCCCTCCTGCTCTAGAATTCTCTCTGGCCTGTGAAACCAGCTTTTCAGAACTGTGTGCAGTACTAGGAATGCTTGGGAGGGAACCTTGGAGAGTCTGAGTAAGCTTATCCTAGGGAGATGGGAATAAATGCCTAGTTACCTGAGACAGGGTGCTGTGATTGAACAAAGAAAGAATCCTACCCAAGTCTAGCTTGTACAGATGAATTTATTAGGGTTATGCACAGCATGGGTGAGGGGTTATTTACAGGAGCATGGGTGACTCAGAGGCAGTTGCATCACCAAAAAGCCCACCCTGGCATGGGCGATGACCCAGAAAGCTGCATCTGAGCTCCCTGAATCTTGTGAGCCTCCTTCTTCCAGGAAGAAATGTTTCAAAACAGAGGAAATGACTATAGAACAGTAGGCAAAGGCTTCCCCCAACAGTGGGAGATCTCACAGGGTAGTAGGAAAAGGCCGCACAGGACAGTGGCCAAAGATCTTACAGGTCACTAGAAGGCTTCACACCACAGTACATGAAGATGTCACAGAACAGTAGGGGAAAGTTTCATAGGACAATAGAAGCCTCACAGGACAGGAGAGGGTCTCACAGACTAGTAGAAGGCTTCACAGGACAGTAGGCAAAGGCTTTACCAGACAATAGGGGACGGTCTCGGGACAGTAAGAGAGGGCCTCACAGGACAGACTCATGTGCCTTCCTTCAGCTATCAGAATTAGTGGAACCAAATAATTAAGTTTTCCCCAGGAATCCCATGCTGGAAGAAGGGAAGGTAGAGACCCTGGTGCCAGTCAGAGGAGGAATTTGCCTCCCAGGAAGATATTTCTACATAGTGCTGACAACTTATCACACTACCTTGCAAGGTGGTCCAGAGCTGAGACAATGGGTCAGTGGCAGGCTAGTGATGTTCTGTTATGAATACCTCTCACTCATTTAAAACTTAACCCCGTGTCAGGACCCCCAAAGATTGGCTTGAGGGGTGTCACTGAACCCATTTCTTTGTTCTTTTTCCCAATGTGGCCATATTGAATCAATCTCCTCTCTGCTTTTCACCATTGCTTATCTTTTTAATTAGCATATTAAAAGATATGGGTCAGGATGGGTGACTGAGCCTGGCTTTGGGGGACTGCCAGAATCTAAGCTTATACCCTAAAAACTCCTATTTTGGTGTTGCCCCTTAATTTATGAATCCACTTAGAAGTAACCTGTATTTAAGATCTGTTCTGTATAGCCTTAAAGGAAAAGCAAGATTGAACATTATGTCCCTGTTGGAGGTGAACCCTCTGGGGGCCTCACCTGCCTTCCCCAGGAACCTGCAAAACACAGTAGTGAACAGCACCAGCTCTGTACTCAGACCCAACTGTGGTTTTTCTCCATATCCGAGTTATAAGTTACAACTTCTGTGTCCCTCAATATATTC